GTATTGAACATATACACAAAACTATATTGATTGAGGTTGTAACAATGGTTTTGATTGAGTTTTGTTTCATGTGAATGCATCACATTTTGTAATGTATGCAGTGTGACCCATTCTAACAATCCACCGATCTTTAGTAAAGGCAGGCTTTTGTCTATCAGCAGCCTTGTTGGAGTAGGGATAACCTTTTGAACTGGTGATCCATTTTCTGATAGCTTGTCTTCTGCAAACAGAGTTTGGATAACCAGACATGTTTACCTCTCCAGGACGGTGCTCCGTGTGAAGGTGTGGTTTCACTCTTTGCTTACGTCAACTTCTCATGTGACAAAATGTTTTTGATCTTTTAAGGCTTGGCTTCGGGACTCAAGATTTTCATGGACATTTTTTGTGTTAAAAAACCCAAAGCCAGTCTTCAGTGGTTTGACTGTGTCCTCTGACAAAATATATTCTCATGCTTTTTTGTGACATTGCCATCCCATCCATCCTACTATCTGTACCTTGTAGTAAAAAGAACACTCCTCCGATTGCAGCAATCCTCCCCTTCAGGATGTAGTTTTCTCCCCCGATTTTTGAGCACTGCATTCCTGTGAGAGTCGCTGCAAGCCCAAATGTCCCAAACACAATGGCTGCGATCATCAGTGCCCGGGAGGCCTGAATGTAGCCTGTGTGCAAACATTTAAAAAATAAAATAAAATGACACACCTTGATCTCTTAAGAACGTCCGTAGTTTCAGTAAAAGGATTCTCACTTTGTTGAAAGAGGAGAAAACAAGTTTGATTCCTGAATAATAAATCAACCATTTCACTCTATCATTTGATCAAAACAAAAACATATATGTTGGGATCATTTCTGTCTGTGATGAGATGAGGACAAAAAAAAGAGATGGGCAGTCAATGCTGGTACCATCAGAGGTATAGTCAAAGTCTGCCTCTTGACTGAGGTTGATTACAAGAAAATGTTTCATGTGGTATACAACCCTTGTCTGTTGTGTCATTTTGGGAAATCTTCATGGTAAATCTATATTTTATTTACTCAAGCTGATTAAAACGATACCTAACCAGGTAGTTTTTGCCAAAAATAGTTAACAGACCCTGACAAATGTTTGAATATTTACTATTAGTTCCTCAAAAATCAGTTTAACATAATTATTTTGTTTGTCTGTGTTCACCCTGGTTGTGTTTTCTTATCCTCTCTTCTCTGGTCATGTCTTATGGTTTATTACCACTATTTACTAGTGATCATAGCAAGAGCAGCATAAGCCTTTCTGAGAGTATCATGAGGTCAGGTTTAGACCAAGTGGATGTGGAAAAAACAATAGTGAAAGATTGACTGAATGGGCTAATTAGTATTTAAGCCTGAGAAGTATCAATCATAGAACAGTTACTACGTTGGCCACGTACCATTAAGGGCGAGCAAGGATGGAAAATCCCGGCAGTTGTGAACTCCGGTAGAGTCAGTTGCACAGGACATCCATAGGTTTTCATAGATGGTTGATGTGGTGATAACATTACCGTCCACCGTAGATACCTTCCAGTATCGATTTGGGAGGGCGATCCCGACCATCAACCAGCCCAGAAAGCCCAGGAAGAAGGCAAGCGCTTCCACTATCGCATTCATATTCCCTTGTTTCTTCTGTGTAACCCGTGTGGAGGTATCCAGAGAGAGAAACACTCAATACAAACGTTGACTCTCCGAGCTATCTCACTGCACAAACTTGTGGTTTTTGTCGGCCCCGCGGTCTCAGTGTGCCACACCGCTTCCCAGTAACCCCCCAGCTAGATGGTAAAGAAAACTGCAAATCAATGATTAATTCCAAATAGCCCACTTATGATTTCCCCTATTATTCTCAACTCCATTGTGGCTTTTCAAAGGCTCCACATGTTTACCCAACCCAAAGGACAAGAGTGAGAGGTGAAGTCCAACCTTCGCACCTTCTCACAAATCTCCATAGACTTCAAGCTATTCGTCATCTTTGGTCATTTGCCTTTGAGGCCTGTGTCAATAACATCAAACCATAATTGATGTGATTCAGGTCCCGTTTTGGCTCCTCATTTCATCTTGTTTCTGAGGGATGATGGGAAATTTGACCAGGTTTGCTGCCTTACAGATAACCCTACTAAGCCCAAAAGACGTCTCTTCTTCACAAATACAAAGTTGTTCATTAAGAACCACTGCAGCCCTTTGGTCATGCAGAGAAAACCTTAAATTAATTAAAGCTCCCGTCCACATGGTTTAGACCTCGAAGAGATGTCTGTTTCAACTGCTTTATGGTGGATCTTTATGAAGATATACAATAGTTTTACAACTTCACAAGAGCAAACAATGGCTGGATTTATGGTAAACATTTTTAAAATACATATCTATGAATGCTGTCAAAAATAGTTTTTTCTCTTAGTTCGAGTCAGAAATTTCCACGATATTTTACACCCAAATCTAAATCTCCACTTCAGATATCTGGCCTCACTCACAAACTCTTTCATACACAACCAATATTCTAAAGGTCTGTACAGAGGGGCTTGTTTATAGATCATTTATATTATTATAATAACATTTAAGTCCTATAACATGGCGGAAATCCATTATTGTGTTGCCGCTGATAGTATTTTCTGATTTATGGAGTGATAAAAAAACTTTGACATTACAGCAAAGTGAAAACAAGAATTTGAAACTCAATTTTGTTGTTCAGATGTCTATACTAGATGCAAATTGGTACATACTTGTTTAGATAATACCACATTTACTTATTTAAACATAATGTTACAGTATTCATAAAATCTATTGTCTTAATGTAAGTAATAAACTAAAAAGGAATACCCTATTAGTGCTTTTTTTTGCTTAATGACTTAATTTGAACTTTGGACATTATGTCCAACAAGTTCAGGATTAAATATACTGGATGCCGTTAATGACAGAGGAAAAGGAAGGAGCTGTAGAATGTAATGATTCTCTTATAGCCCTCATAAACCTACCCAATTATTATTATTAAGAGGGTTTATGAGGTTGTTTATTGAGACTGTGTATGCCTACAGATATCATGTAATCCACTACAATATATGCATTTAGAAAAGATACTCATATTTAAATATTGAACTCCACCTCAATTAAACTAAACGTTCTAAACTTTACAGAGACTACTGTGTTGGAATACTGGATTTCACAGCTGCTGTGCCTATCCCCTACAGATTATAGCACCTACACTGAAAATGATATATAGACATTGCATTTGTATTTATTTAGAAAAAGAGAAAGAGCTATCTGTTAGGCTGTATAATAATTTAGACTCTCAAAGAAGTCAAAGAATATAAACTGCATTTCTCGCAATGTGACAGTACAGACTATAAAATGCACAGTCAGCTATTACATACAGCTGCATCATCAAAAAATGTAATATGTACAGAACTTAAAAATGTCAATGTAAGACAAGCAATTTCTTGATAATTACCATCTACATTCATGTTTTCACTTTCTATTAATCAGCAGAGACTAATGAAGTGACTTTTCTAGGATTCTGTCAAGTAGAACTGTGATCATAAATTAGACAATTTCTCCTGTTACTTACCCGGGAGAGCAAAAAGGGATGGAAAGTCACGACAGTTATAGATCCCCGTTGAGTCACTTGCACAAGACATCCATAGGTTTTCATAGATAGTGGAGGTTGTTATTACGCTGCCCTCTGTGGTGGATTCTTTCCAGTACTGATCCTGTAGTGATACGAAAATCAATATCCAGCTTGCAAAACCTAGGAAAAGTGCTATAACCTCTGTGATCTCTTTCATTTTGAGAGTCGTCTTCTATTAATAATTAGCAGTACTAAATAGATAATGCTCCAGCGTGCGCTCTATTTGCAGCTTCTGTATCTGACATACATTTTGGGAGTGAGAACTGACTCAGGACTTTTTTCCTCATGCACTCAAACCTGGACTAATTTGAACATTGATTTGTTGGCTGTAGCTACATTATAAGTCTGCTATTCCCGCCCAAAATTGATGACATTCCACGTGCCTGGCATGTTACCATAGAAATGTAAGTATACAAGGAGCTTTTTTCTCTCATTTGATTGGCAGCAGAGTTAGTCTCTTGTAAAACAGTTATGGCTTTAAATGCACGAGCCAAAAAAGAGTTTAAGACTGGAGTTGTTGCACTGACATGCTATTAAAGGCTTCTGCAGGGGACAATAAACAAGACAATAAAATACTCATTGTTTTGTTCTGTGGGAAGATGCCTCTCAGGATGAACTGTTCATAATTAAAAATAAATAATTGTTATACCTATTTGCAGGACAAAATTAATCAATCAGAGAATAGTTTAATGATGTGGTTAATAATTGAAAGTGATGCTCATATGGTGCAGTCTTTTTTTTTTCTCTTATCATCTCATCCTCCTGTCTGCACGTCCTTTTGAGGAATTGGTAGCTTGTGATTTTAGAGAGGTGATTTCAAGTTTTCATAGGCAAATACTTGTGGGGAAATAGTGAATAGAGAGCAGATCAATCACTGGGTGGTCAGTGGGTGATTTATTAAAGGCACAAAGTGTTTATTTTAGCGCAGGTTAAGCATTAACGAATCTATGACAGGACAAAAGATGCGTTGAAATTCTTAAACTCTGTAAATACACTTTTTGTACTGAAGCAAATTGATTTAACAATGTCCTTTTAAAAAAAACTGTGTTTGCATATTACAGTGCTTTCAGCTGAAAGAGGCTGGCCAAAGTCTGCGTTGCTTTAACACTCCCTTATATTTAATATGTGCTCTCTCTCTATCAAGCAGCATATGGAAGTGTGCAAAAGTGCAATGACATTTTTATAATCCTGTTTTATATTCAGTGTTTGCAATTGAAAACAGCGTGAACATCCCCGACGCTCAGTGGTGATGAGGCTTAAAAGCAGATAAAGATGTTTATCCTTTGTTTGACTCTTCGTTCAGGAGAAACTTCAAACGCCCAATTTACAGTCGGTATCTTATCAAATGTGAATACTCTTTTCCAACCAGTAATCAGAGGCACAGTTCAAAGTACTGTCATATACTTATAATATGGAGCAGACACTGCGCAGAGCAGCTTTAACTCCATCTTTTGTCTGTTAATATTTTATTTCCCTGCCCTTCCCTCAGTCACCTGGAATATTTATTCAGTTGTGTCCGCATTGACCTCCCTGCTTAAAGGGAGAGTTCACATAAAATCTTAAATGGCTTTTGGTTTTCAACCCCTGTCATTTGCTGGTGATGGCTGACACAGGAACTGATGTTAGACACATAAATCAGTTTGTTTTATTGTGATTTTCAATATTTCAGTGATTCATTTTCAAATGTTTAAATTCCTGACTGCTTCAGCAGGCTTGTTGTGTTTGTGCTTTACAGCCTAATTATTATTTGGCAGAAACATTAACATTTAAACATTTGATCATTTCATGTGCTGTGTAGGCTATTCCCTATAGTTAAATACATATATATGAATATGTATTTCGTTCACAGAGAGGTTTGAACCTCTGAATTCACATTATGTCACAGTATATGTCATAGAAGATGGGAAGTTCTGTGTTGTGAGGGATCAATAGGATTAATCATGTGCGTTAATTAGAAAACCTGTCACTGTGGTTTCATGTTGGCGTCTGTATCTTAAAACTCAACCTCCCATGAATATATGTTGCATTGACTTAAAAACATTGTGAGGAGCGAATACATATTATTATTTA